ACATTGAAGAGGATATAAGGAAATGGAAAGACATTCCTTGTTCCTGAGTAGGAAGAACTAATTTAGTGAAAATGGCCATACTTCCAAAACTACTATATTGATTTAATGCAATGTCGGCTGAAATCCCAACAATATATTTCACAGAACTAGAGAAAACAATCCAAACATTCATTTGGAACCAGAAGAGACCTAAAATAGCAAAAGCAATTCCAGACAACAGAGACATGGCAGGGGGTATCACAATCCCCAACTTGAAATTATACTACAAAGCCACTGTGATAAAAACGGCATGGTCTCAGCAAACAAACAGACCTGAGGATCACTGGAATAGATTAGAAGATGCAGAAATAACTCCAGACATACTCAGCCACCTCATCTTTGACAAAGAAGCCAACCATCCTCACTGGAAGAAAGATAGCCCATTTAATAAATGCTGTTGGAAAAACTGGATTTCAACCTGCCAAAGATTAAAATTACACCCATACCTATCACTATGCACTAAACTAAGATCAAAGTGGATTAAAGACCTAAATATTAAGACATAAACACTAAACTTGCTAGAAGATAAGTTAGGTAGAACTCTTGAAGACACTGGCATAGGAAAAGACTTTATGAACAAAACCTCAGTAGCACGGGAACTAGCAGAAAGAATCAACAACTGGGACCTCATCTTATTAAAAAGCTTCTGCACTGCAAGAGAAACCACCAGCAGAGCTAAGAGACAACCTACAATGTAGGAAAAAAGTTTTAGTAGCTGTACCTTAGACAAAGGACTACTATCTAGAATATATGAAGAACTGAAAAAAATCAGACCACCCAAATTTAAAGACCCAATTCAAACATGAGCATCTGAAATGAATAGACATTTCTCAAAGAAATAAATCAGCAAATAAACATATGAAAAAATGCTCAACATCACTGGTCATTCGAGAGATGCAGATGAAAACAACACTGAGGTTCCACCTCACCCCAAAAAGAATGGCTGCTATCAAGAAATCAACCAATAACAAATGCTGGTGGGGTGTGGGGAGAAAGGAACCTTTCTCCATTGTTGGTGCGAGTGCAGACTGGTGTAACCACTGTGGAAATCCGTATGGAGATACCTCAAAGAACTTGGGCTAGAGGTCCCATTTGACCCAGCTATCCCTCTGCTGAGTATTTTCCCAAAAGAATTAAAAGAATCATACCACAGCGATATATGTGCACCCATGTTTATAGTGGCACAGTCTGTAATAGCTAAAGCTTGGAAGCAGCCCAAGTGCCCATCAATTGGAAATAAAGAAGATGTGGATTCTTTATAAAACGGAGTACTACTCAGCCATAAAGAATGAGAAACTAAAGACATTTGTAGCTAAATGGATGCACATTGAGGCCATAGTCTTAAGTGAAATAAATAGGACACACGTGTAAATACCGAATAGTTTCTCTGGTATGAGAAACAAAGTGTAAATAAGGATTAAATGATTAAAATGAATAACTGACAATGTGAAATAGGAAGAAAAGGTCCAAAAGGGCAGGGGAAGTAGGAGCGGTAGGGGAAAGGAAAGAAGGGAAAGGAAACATTATGAGAAAAGGAAAAAATGGAAAATGAAGTCTTTGTAAATAGGGATGGGTAGAGGGCGTGAAGGGAGGGCAGGGGAAGGGGAAAAAAATAAGAACCAAGATACATCATGTAAAGGTACAAGTTCCCAATGATAAATATAAATGTATACCTAAAATGTACCAATAGAAGAATTTAAGGAAAGGAAAAAAGAATGAATGTACAGTATATGGTAGGACCAGAGATCCTTAGTCAAGTGCCAAGTGATCTGCCTCCCATACCATAAAGTGTCTTCTTTAGTAAGTGGCAATATGTTAGAAAAATCATGTGTTTGTAAGTCTATCACTTGGTTGTGCTAGTAAAACTCTGTGAACAGGAAAAATTCCCATCAAGAGACATGTCAATTCTTTAAGTACAAACTACTGCTCTTTCCAGGAATCTCCTTTTGACTTTTAGTCCTGATGGAATTGTACCCTACCCAGTGGAAAAATCTCCATAATAAGTTCTGGTTTTGTCTTTCTGCTCAAGCAAGACCCTGTCTCAAAATAAAAATAATAAAAATAATAAAATAGCTGACATGTAGGGATGTAGCTCAGTGTAAAGGTCCTTTGATCAATCTCTAGTTTTTTTTAAAAAAGCCTCCACTGGTAGTTCGATCTCTGAAAGTCCTCCTAAGTGCAATTAGTGTTTGATTTCCTACCTTTCACCAAGCCAGAGAGATGCTTTCAGAAGCTTCCACTTGGACCTTCCTACCATCATAACTCTTATCACAGACTATCCTATCAGAGAGTATATGTATACCAGCCATGCCTTCTGGAAGTCCACAGACCCAACAGACACACTGAAAGACAGACTAGGGCAAGAACTCCTCTTATCACTTGGCCTCCATTTTGGCATCCTCTCAGTACCAACTCAGTTCCTGGGTTAAAAATCCCTTAAAAAACTGGTGATTCTCTTGCCACAGTCTATGAGTCTGTAGTAAAACGGCTTCAGGCCCTTTGGGAGATGTACTGGGGAACATCTATTGAAGATAATTGGAATGGCACTATAAGATTCTTCCTCAAAGGATCTGCTTTCCCTTAGTTGATACATCTGGGTGTGAGGTGATCTTTCTTTTCAATTATCAATAATCCTGCCTCAGATAAACCTCTTTGGCTATGATACTTCCACTGTGCAAAACTGAGGTGATATTTCTTAAAGTAGCTGATGTCAGCCTTTTACTTACTAGTACTTTTTTCTGTCTAGTCATGAAAAGTAAAAGGATTAGGTTTTTCACCTACCTCATCTTTAACAGACATTGGATGTGAGTCCACAAGGCAGGGCAACCTGGTTGCTACTCTGGCTTTCATGGTGGCCATAGTAATTATGTTGACCTTCCTTCTGTTGGCTACAAGCTCCCACTAAAAGCTCCCACTAAAAGCTCCCACTAAAAGCTTCCACTATTCTGGTATCCCATCACCTACATCACTCCTATTAAAATTAGGGAGCCTAGGTCTGTGCAAACATCTCTTAATGGTTCTTCTTTATCCTCAATACAACACAGGTAAGAACCTTAGTAGCTGTGATGCCACACCACACGAGAAGGTATCATCATTGTATTTAACAAAACGGAGTTAAGACAATCCAGTTCCAGAGTTCTGAGGATATGCACTTCAGGCATTCTACTTACATAAACTTTTTTACCTTTGTATTCCCCAAAAGCATAACTTCAATTAACTACTTATGTAAAGACAGATTATTTGGGAAGTAATCCTCATATGCAAGAATGGAACAAGGAGAAGAATGCAGATGGTAAGAGTGTGTTATTGAAGTTACTATTGTGGGGAACCAGAACTCAGTTTAACCAGGATTTCTTCTGATGCACACACAATAACCTACATAATTGGCTTGGTACTGTTGCCCCTTGGTTTGGGGGCCCCAACTGTGTTAACCTAACAACACTCCAGCTGTGCATGGCATGAGCTGAGGAAGCTACTGATAGCATCTACAAAGTCAGAAGACCCTCTGGAGAGAAGGCAGAGGTCTAGTAATGTCAAAACAATAGAAGATATTAGCATGAAATGCATGGAACCTTATATGAAACTGTCTCCTCCAGTCTAATCAAAAATCAGAGGTGATCCTCTGAAAATGTGAACTGGGACACCAAAAGCTTTGGATACAACAGGATTGTTAGTTTCTTAGAAATTTAAAACCCATTAAAGATTTAAAGTCCTTAATTTTGTTTACCATAAAATTATTACAAGAGTAAATAGGTAGTAATGACTGAGATCTCTATTTACTAAACATCTACTCTAAAATAAAGTATCTCACACATTTTACATGTCATTGTTTGACATATTGAAGTATTCTGTTGATAGGATAATCAGGTTACATATAAGCAGTGACTGGAAGAAATTTAGGAAGGGAGCTCTGTGGATTTATGCAACAGGGCAGTGTTCCAAGCAGAAAGGACAGTGGGTAAAAAGCACTCATATTTGGTATGCTTGGAGAGGGTTAAATGGGCTCTGAAGACCAGCTTGGATGGTCTCATCAAAAACAAGTTATAAGCCATGTGTTTGAACTTTCGAGTAAAATGGTAAGTCATTAAATGTTTCAGAGTAGAGGAGTAACATAGCTGTCACAAATTCTAAATGGTTCACTCCAGAAGTTGAGGGCCGGGGATTTAGCTCAGTGGTTTTGCTGCCTGCTGCGCAAGCGCAAGGACCCAAGTTCAATTCCCGGTACCAAAAAAAAAAAAAAAAAAAAAAAAAAAAAGAAGTTGAGTGGGGCTGTTTTACAAAAGAAATACCGGGAAAATAGAAAGCTCTGTTTGAAGGCTTCTGTGATCACAAAGCATGAGTGGACGGTACTTTATAACATGACTTGTACTGTAATTTGTTTTATACTACCATTTACCTTCTCAGGTGTATCCTGTAACTCCTTCAGGGCAGGGACTTCTTAACTGTAATTTATGGAATATTATTATGACCTGTACATCTAACCACTTAACAAGGGCTTGATAAATAATAAATAACTGATAGTAGTATTAAATCCACATTATTCAGTGACAATATGGCATCATTGAAAGACTGCCACTATGACTTCACGAAATTTAAGTTCTCTTTCAGTTTTATCGTTCACAAAATGCTAACGGCACGGGACTGACAAATTTGGTATTAAATGAAAATGCCAAACCAGACATTTTTTCTCATCACTACTCAAAGTAGGAGCGATCTGCCTTACTTCAATATGAACCCTCATACCCAACAGCCTTCACTACAAATGGTTCTCCTTCTCCAAAAAGGCCTGTAAAATTTCAAAAGGTGTACATAACTGGATGGATTCTATCCTTTGTGTTAAGCCAACTCATCCCTTTCTTGATATCCAAAGCAGGCTCTCAAACACGTTCTATCTCCATATATCTTCGTTATGGTAATCTTGTGCTTTGCCATCTCTAAGAATTATCTAAAAAAACACTCACCACTTATTCTATCTTGGTTTTTACTTCACTGTATCTCAGTGATTAGTGATGTTGCCCTCCGCGCTGGGGAAAAGTTTAGGTTAAGATGTGACGGCTAGCCTTCAAGTTTTGGGATTTATGCTCCATACAACAAACGGCACCGTCAAAACAGTATTGGTAACATTTCTGAGATGTTCCAAGGACCGCTGTCGCTATAATTACTAGTTGAATTTCAACTTCAGAAGCAATCCAAGTGTCGACCTGGAAAAGGCGGCTGGGCTCAGGAAAACGTGGAAACAGACAAAGAGGCCATGGTATTGCCTCGTCTTCTGTGGATCAAATTGGTCCAAGAAGGACTTTTAATTCCGGGTCCAACATTCTCCACGGGGCCGCATTCTCAAATCTTAGCACAGGGCCACTGGCGTGGAAGTCGCCTCCCTCCTAGGCACCCATGGGCAGTATCCTGGTACTGAACCTAGGAACACTGGGAGCACTGATCCGTCTGTGCTTGGCCCTCTTGAAGCGCGACCATCACAGGCCTTGATCCTCTACGCAAGCGCTCCTCTCACGTCCCTGAGCACACGGAGCATGCGCAGGAGATAACAGCGAGCAAGCCGGCTTGGGCTCCAGACCGTAGGGGGGCGGGGCAGCGCGCCTGCGCACGCGCGTCGGGACACATAAGCGGAAGTGGCGCGCGGTCCCCGGCAATGCGAGCACCTTCCGGTGCAGCGACTGCAGCTGTGGAAAGTGCAGGAGTAAGAGAAGAGGAAGAGGCAGAGGAAGAGGAGGTGATGGCGACGGACCTGGGGAGGGGGAGAGGCTCGGTCTGGCGGTGCCACCCGGCTAGGGTCACTCTTCCAGGTGACATACCGACTTTCGGGTGGGCGTCCCCTCGGCACCTTTCCAGTGTTGGGGATCCTGAGATGCTTGACACTGTCCATCTCCCTCCGCCAAAACCTTTGAGCCCAGGATGGCAGGAGCGAGTGACTTCCTTTCTTAAAGAGCAGAAAAACTGCTTCGCACGGCGTCCAGGGTAGAGCACCTGCTTCTCGTCCCTTTACCCCCTTGGCCGAAAGAGATGTCTTTCAGGCCCCCATCTGTGGGGTCAGTGGACGAGGCCACGTTCAGGGGTCATTTGGGTGGTCCTCGCGGTTGTGGCGAACTGTGACTCTCCGGGATTCCCCGCGACTGCATTTGCGGTTTAAAAACGACTTCCGGATTCTGTGTTGGCTTAGGGCGTTCCACTGTTCTCAGATGTCCAGTCGGTTGGTCTTGCCCTGGAAGGTGACTGTTCTCACCAAACTGTTACGTTGGTCACCAAAAGTCTGCAGGTTCCTCCAGTCCTTACAATTGAATCCCCTCCATCCCTTTTTTTGCTTTTGAAGAGGTATTGAAAATAGGAGAGGGAACGATTTGGGGTGCAACAGAATTTTTTTTAATGTGGATTTGCATTCCTTCTACAGTAGGTTATAATATAGGTACAAAAAAGAAGAGATAGAATTTTGTTTTTCTATTTTATAATCGTATGCCACAGGCCATGATTAATAGAGTGCAATTAATCAAGGCATAATAATAAGGTCTTTCTATTTGTAACATTGAATTAGTCAGACTATGAATAGAATCGCGTTTTTTCAGGTTGCTCTCACGGTCTATCTTTGTGGTAGGAATCTTTTAGACTGGAAAAGCCTAGACTGAGAAATAAACTGAAATCACAGTAGGTCATTGTAAGTCAGTATTATCACTGAAACTTTTAAATGTTCAGTATGTGCTGGACATTCTGCCCTTAATTCCATTTTAGCTATTATTTGAACCTCAAGAACTACAGTTAAATACTTGTGTTGTATGTAAGAAGAGGCCAGTTAAATACTTCTGTTGTATGTAAGAAGAAGTGGTTCATAGCTGTGATTTATTTCTATTTTAGTTTCAGAGTTATCGTGAACTTCATAGGAAAGCAAACTGTTAACTATTTTTAATTCCATGTTTAGTTTTTTCCCCTGCACCATAACGACTTTCCCTGTTTCTCTCAGTGATAATTAATATCACTTATCAGCATTTGAAATGACATTAGCTGGCAGACATTAGAGATCAGAGTTTCTCAGTATCAGAGGTCTCCATCAGTCATGCTTTCTGGCCAGTGATATGGTGATTAATAATACAAAACTGCATTCTAAATGTAGGACTTTATGCGACAGGTTTTGTGGTACTCATACCTCAGAAAAGCAATGGAAGTGAATGTATTTCCATGTTCATTTCAGATGCTTTGTGGGAAAGTCAGAAGAGAGAGTTGGTATTTTGGCACACATGTTTAGAAAGCCTAGTGCTGGAGTGATTTAATTCCACATGTGGCCTAGATCTGCAGTTCATGTGATTATCAGGAGGAGTAACAATGTTAAATGGTGGGAAGGAACAGAACAATCTTGATGAAATGGTGTTTTTAAAAATCAGGCTACCGCTATTCTTTATCCTCAAACTAGCATTTAGACAAGAGGCCATATGAGGGAGAATAATTTAGAAATACTCTATACTCAAATCTTCCAAGTAAAGCAAACAAATGAGTAAAATTTTATTTCTACTGACTTATTTCTTTTGTTGCATAATCATGCCCATTTTGAGAATTCAATTTTAAAACATTTGCTCTTCATAAAACATTTCTTTATTCTTTGTAGATTTTGATGAGCATCATATATCATTGGGCTCGAACAAGTTTGCATTGTTAGCCCACCCCTAATAATAATAATAGCAGAATCAGTTTCAGTCCCTTAATCAGGTCTTTCTGTTAAGTTTTTTGTGGGTTTTTTTTTTTTTTTTTTGAAGACATGGTCTCACCGTGTAGTTCAGGCTGTCCTTGAACTCACTATGGAGCTATGGAGCCCAGGTTGGCATCAAACTCAAGGCAGTCCTCCGCCTCAGCCTCTCGAGTGCTGAGATTACAGGCATGCACCACCATATCCAGCTCTGTTAAGTATTTTTCTGCTGTCAGCTTGTGGATGCAGATACATCATAATTTGCAATATTAGTTGGCAGTAAAAAATGCTGTTTACAAGAGTACAAAAGAATCCTTTATTTAATAGCTTACATTTTTGTTCTGTGCTAATTCGTAAGAAGGTGAATTGTCTCTTGCCTTATGGAATTCATATACTTATAGAAGAAGTACTTAATGAAAACAAAAAAGTTACGTCATTGTGGTATAGTTATCTGTTAAAATACATATAATGTGCTATGAGAATCTAGGACATTAGTCAGTTTTAAACGTATACAGACTTAATGGTGCAGCATAATCAGATTTTGTGTTGAACAGGGTAAAAGATAGGTAGAAAAGAGAGAGGAGAAAATCATGTGTTTTTATTTGAATATTTTTAATATGAGGTGCCAGTGGTGCTTCACTGAGATATGAAAGCATTTGGAGAGAAGTCTGGGTTGGAAATCCTGGTCCATATCTCCAGCAGCACATCAAAAAGGTGCATCAGCTTCAGCACTCCATACCAGGCTAAAATAAAAGTTCAATAATGATAACATATATGGGCTGTCATAGTATATGGTAGGCACTTTTACACTTATTTCATATAGTCCCAACACAAATCCTATGATAGGCTCATTTTTAAAACTCCTTTTCATTAGAGATGCAGAACCTAAAGCTCAGAAAGGTTAAATAGTTTCCACCAAGACACCTTAATTAGTAACAAAAGCAATCTTGAATTCAGCTCTAAATTTCGAAGCATGGAGAAAGTACTATGCCATACTACTTTCTTATAATATTAGCCATTATTGTAATGAATCATTATAATATGCTTGGTGTTTTGCTAAATTGCAAACATCACAGAAAAAAAGTGATTTTGTAAAAGAGTTGCCTTCTGGAGAAATGTTTTAATACCAATAAAGGCAGAAAAGAGATTTCCTGGTTTTATTCTATACATATGTGCAAATATATAATCATTACTTACACTTTTCTCCCAATCTCTGTATTCTGCAACATTTTCAGATTTACCCATAAAGTAAGCCCACACCATTGTCCATTTCAGAAATCATATCCAAGCAGAGGATGAGTGATTCCAGCAGAAGTTTGAAAATACCCAGAGGAAGTTTCAGTTTGATTCATTGATTATTGGTGCAGGGTATTTGACAGATAAAAAGGCACATATATTTCAATGCCTGAGTATTATTAGGTCCAAGTTTTATTCAGAACCTTGACCCCTTATTTGAGTTACTGAAGAGAGACCAGTTAATTTCTGTTAATCAGACAATAGAATCTGAGTCTTGCCTTTCAAGTTCTGTAGTCTCCCAGCTGGGGAAGTTAGGGAAGGTGTCACAGAGGAAGGGACATTAAAGCTTAACTTCAAAATCTGACCCAGAGAAAGAAGACATAAGGCTGCACCAAAAACAAGGGTGTTTGAAAGTTCATGGTATATTTCCAAAATGGAAAGAGAAAATGGGAAAGAGAGAGAAAAGCTTAGAAACCAATGTGCTGCTGGGTTTATTTAAATGGTGCTTATACATAGGGAATTGTTGTTAGGGATTTTGTTCCTTCTGTATTCAAAGCACAGGTCTGATCAAGTGCTTAGAAAAGATAACGTAAAGCGTTGTTTATAAAGAAAGTGGTGACCTACAAGATGGTGTAAAAGTCTTAGAGGTAACAATGATTGAAATACAGTGTGGGAAGCAAGAACAAAGGAAAATAATAGAGGAAAAGAAGCAGCAAAACTTTTTAAAACTACACATTTTTGTTTAGAAATATGAAAGGAGTTATAAAAAACAAATGTTTTTGTACCTGAATATTATTAGTTACAAGTTAAATTCAGAGGCTTGACTCCTCATTTGAGTTACTATGTCCTAATCTCTGTAAATCAGCAAATTAGAAATCACAACTACAATTCCTACCATTTTGCCTTCATATGACAATTTCTTTTGAAAGATTTCTAAAGGGAAGCTTTCCAAATTACTCTTATGGCTTCAGCCCTCACAGTCTAAATTTTTTGTTCTCATTGGAATTGTAATATTGAGTTTTTTCTAGAAAAATATGTTTTCTTCATAAGCGTGTTCTGTTCTTTAATTGTTATAATTCTTTAGGCTTTGCTTAACCTTTGTATTTTTTCAGTTTGTATAAATCCAGAGAGAAATTGAGTCATCTAGGGTCCTTCATATTTAAAAAAACAATTTTTTTCCACAGAATGACACATTTTCTAGCCTTTTCTTCCTCAAAGACTTTTAAAATTAAAATGATTTTTTCCAAAGAGGGAGGAAAAGTTTTCTTTTAGCCTAAGAGATGCTATTGCTAAAGCATACTATCCTTTCTATAGCTCTGAAAAATCTAGCTTCCAAAACTTAACAGCTATGTGGCTTTATTTTTAAAACATCACTAGCAAATATATATTATAATTGTTTTAGTATTTAAGGGAACATCACATAGCCTTTACTCTCTACAAGATTGACCTTAATGAATAAACCATTGTGAGCTTTAAAAATTACATATTTACTAGATATAAAAGCATATGTCATGTTTAGTTGTTTGATGAAATGAATACTAGGTTAGCTTTTGAGTTGTTGCTGTGGAAATATGTACATATCCAATTACTGTCTGTATCAGGCAGAGGTAAATTGGAAAGTAGTTACTGTTGGTTGTTTGGAAGCTGGAATAATATACTAATATACAGACAATCAGCTTTATCTGTATAAGTTTAAAGTAAAGTTTAGATTATTATTTAAAGCATGATACTTTAGAATCTAAACATTTTATCTTAATTGCTTATTTTCTTCTGTAGAACTTGGCTCAGCTAGCAAAAGAAAGACTGAACAAAAAAGAAGAAACCAACAAAGATAACTTTGGAAGCCCTGAATGCAGCAAAATAAGAGCAATGGATCTCAAGTTCAACAACTCCAGGAAATATATCTCTATCAGTGTGCCATCCAAAACCCAAACAATGTCACCACACATCAAGTCAATTGATGACATTGTAGTACTTGGCGTAAATCTCAGCAAATTTAACAAACTTACTCAATTTTTCATATGTGTTGCTGGAGTTTTTGTATTTTACCTAATTTATGGATATTTACAGGTAAAAGATAGTTGTTGTTTGTCATATGTTAATTACTGATAGTATTTAATGCCACTATAGGCACTTCCTATAGGATGCCAGTGTTTATATGTTGGAGTTATAGAGTAAAGACGAGGTTTCTTAAAAGTAAGCTTACTGAAAACAAAGATCAAAATTTCAGAGTTAAATTTTAAGTGGAGAATAAGGGCATTTGAGATGGTCTTGCAAAATTAATGAAAATGAATGTTTAAATGTTTTACATTGCAAATGTGTTATAGTTTAAAAGAAAGAATTATTCAAATATTAACTAGTGTCTGGGAATATAATTTTCCAATGCAATCTAGTGATAGCACAGTGTACTCTTGTGTCTTAGAGCTTAATAATAAAAGGCCATTTTTACAAAAATATATCAGGATATTTTATGTTTCTCAAAAGGTATCTTTTTAATAGTGTAATAATCTGAATCACTCTTTTTTTATTCATTTTTATCTATTGTATTTTCATTCTTAACTGGTTTTCTCTTTCTGTCTAGCTTTGCCAGAATCTGTTTTCTCTGATTTTTTGTTTGTGCAAAACATTTCTTTTTCTTGTTTGTTTTCCTTTCCGGTACCAGGGATCAAACTCAGGACCTTGTGCTTGCCAGGCAGGTGCAGTGCCACTGAGTTACATCCCTGGCCCCTGCAAAACATTTCTAACACAACAGTTTGTCTATTTCCATTGTATATTGTGATAGTTTTATAAATTGGGCCAGCAGCAAATCTTGACCTTCAGGCTGAATGAAGATAGAATCTAGTGTAAACAGGAATATTTGAATGGCGACTAATGTTATTACTGGCCATTTAAGTATCTTCAAGTATTAGCACTTAGCTTTTTTATACAATTGCATGAGAGAACCTTTGTAAATTCAAGAAAAGTAAAATGATGCATTTTCTTAAAACATAATATTTCTGATATTCATTAATAGAAATATTAATGTAATATTTCCAATATTCTGAGAAGTTAGGATGATCTTAAAAACCTTACTCTTTTTTTTCATTGTTTTATAGAGATGAATAATAAAGGTAAATATAAAGGTGGTAGAATTGCAGCTTTTTTTTTAGCTAACGTATAAAAATGTCATGTAGAATATTAACGTAAAACAAAAGCATGATTTTAAAATATTAATATTCATAATTCATTTCCCACTGGAAGATAATATAATATATAAGATATCACAATGAATAATGATTAGACAGAGATTGAAATTTTTTGTTCAGAAATATTTTTTTCCTTCAGTAAACGTAGCAAAGGAAAATGAATTAGAAATGTAACCTCTGAATCTCATTAGATATAGCATATTTTTTTCTGTTTGATTAATGATTAGATATTTTACTTTAGAACTAGGATGTGTGAAGTTTTATTTCAAATTGGATACGTTGCTAGACTACTGTTTGTAGCTTTATCACTTTCACCATGTGAAAACTGACATTGCTACTAACTCTTATGTATAATCACATATGAAAATAGTTCTGAGGAAATGGTTGGGGTTTGATAATATAAGTGATATATACATGCCCACACACTTACAAGGTAAAAAGTTTATTTTATTCAATTATTAATCCAGATATCTTTATTAGAATATTTCTTAATAACTTGTTTAAAATGACTTAATAATTGATATGAATGTTACTTAATAATAAAATACTATTTTTAGGCAAATTAAGCATTCTCTATATAAGGAAGAGTTTTATATAATCTATGAGGGCCAGGGATTTAGCTCAGTGGTTCTGCCGCCTGCCTCACAAGCAGAGGTCCTGAGTTCGATCCCCAGTACCAAAAAAAAAAAAAGATAGATGATATATAATCTATGGTACAAGATTTTTGAAAACTAACATTATTATATGAACTGACTGTGTTCTACAGAAAAACACGCCTGAGATGTCCGACTTCTAATAAAATATGCTCTTTGTATCAGTTTGAATAAGCCACCTTTTTCGTTTTTAGCAAATCTTTCAATTTTGGTCTCTATTTTTTTAAATAAGAAAGCATAGGTAGTGTTGCTTTATAGTTAATTTGTGTTGATTTTTATACCTGGGTATCTAGTGTCAGTTCTTTGGGGAGGACCTCTAACCTCTCTAAAGTTACCTATAAGAGGCCTCGTGACTTGATTTGTATTGGTGTCAGTGTGGCTGGGTTTCCTCTAAGGTGTTGTGTGTGTAAGAATTTACTGTGAGGAAGTTGGTCTGCCCCTTTGAACTTAATTAACAGTGTTTATGTGTCTTGGCAGGAATTAATATTTTCAATGGAAGGTTTTAAGCCCTATGGCTGGTACCTTACTTTAGTGCAGTTTGCATTTTACTCCATATTTGGCCTAATAGAACTTCAACTTATTCAGGACAAAAGGAGAAGGTATGTCGTTTGTTTGGTGTTTTTTGTTAGTTAAGTTTACTAGTATTAGTTACATCTTTTTAAACAACTTTTTACCATGCTGAATATGCATAAAATTTACATTTCCTAATATATCTAATGACCTCTTTATGAGCATAAATCAACAATAATAATGTTTATACACTGAAAAACGCAAGGTCTCAAAGTGTGATGTTATAAGAAAAAAGGCTCAACTTATGGTAAAGTATATGTTCTTAAAACATGAGAAAGTATTCAGATATGCATATGTTTTTATAAACTTCACTAAAGTAAGTGCGGCTATTGAAAGAGTGCAGCTAACATCAAAATGCTGAAGTGAAATAATCAGTATCTCTTTTTATGGTGTTTTTTTTTTAAATGTGAAGCTTATGTTTTATGGCATTTATCCAACTAACATTATCAGGAAATGTTCAATAGCTGAGCTCTGCATTCATAAACATTAGAGAAATGCATTTCATTTATTTTTATTAAAATCGAAAGTATTCATTTGATAATATCTCTTAAATTAACAACCATCTAGATTCAAAAAATGTCTCATGGCATTTTTTATGGCATGGTCTTTGTTTATAAACAGGAAGTGATTAGGAATTTGAACCTAAGTTTTGGTGAATGTAGCAAGTGTAGTCATCCTAACGTATCATACCCGAGTGCAGCATTCCCTGTTAGGAAGCAGGAGGTGAGAGGGGAGCGGGCAGGCAAAGCCTCCTCTGTCCTTACAGCCACTCCCATTCCCTGTGTTGCAGCCCGAGCTCTGCTTCGTGTCAGGTCAGCTCTGGCATTAGGTCCTCATGGGACCATGAACCCCACTGTGAACTGCACTCGCTTGTGAGGAATCATCCCAAAACAATTCCATCCTCATCCTGCCTTGTCCCCATGCAAACATTGTCTTCCAGATGGGTCCCTGCAGCCAAAATGCTGGAGACTGCTGCATGTATATGGGGCAGTTAAAATATAATAAAGACTATAGTAGTGACATTGTCTTCTTATATGTAACTATTTATTCCTTAAAAGCAATTTTTCACAGATTCTTACTTTTCTACATAAAATGGTTTTGAACTTTGAATGAAGGTAATTCTACAATTTTAATCATTCAGATCTATGGTGCAAGATTCTTCTTCCTGGAATAAGGAATCTGTAACACGTTTCTTCATGGATCTAATTTTGCTTCTCGCACTTTATTGCCAATACTTTATTTTAGCCATTATGTAGAAAATATTTGAATCGAGAATATCATTTTCATACTTTAAAACGACAAGTTATATCCATGGGTGATAGAATAAAAAGTAATAAATATATCTGTCAGGACTGTTACATAGGAAACCTGATTCATTACCAAGCAAACTACTGGGCCTCTGATTGCTGCTAAGATAAGGCACTAGTGCTGTCTTGGTGAGGTGATGCTGTACCACCTGTTACTCAAGCTGCTACTCAGATGAGGTGGGGAGCAGTGGGCTGTGCTTATCCCAACCTTTTTTCCACATATGATCACAACATATTTTAAAATGAAATAATTTGTGTTTGATTTAAATATAGGTGAAAGAATTTGGGAGAATTTATAGACTTAAATGTAATTATGAATCAAAACCTATTCTTTCTAAGTCATATTAAAATTTTGTTATAATGAAAATATGCCCAATCTCGGATTCCTTTTTTAATACATACTCATTTCTGAATTTACTTAAGTGGTGTTGCTCTTTAGACTTTCAGTTAGCTTTTTGCATAGTGACCCCCTCCCCCGTCTTGTCATAAGTTTAAATAAGTAGCGATTCATTGGAAAGAAAACAGGATTTCAAGTTAGAAAACATGGATTTTGGTTTTGGCCTGTTTCTTACTAGGCCTGTTAAGACCTCTGGAAAGTTTCTGACTTTTCTCAGTCCTAACTTGCTAACGGTAATGTATGCTGAAACATATTGTATGTAAACTCTAATAACCTGATGGCACTTTCTGTTGTTCACCAAGTATTACCTTGTAACTTTATTAATTTTTTAATAAAGGAGATCCATCAAAATGGCTTTGAAGGGGTTTTTAAATTATAATTTCCCCATTATTCTGAAAAAAGTAATAAACAAATGAGATATTAAATAAAAGAGAAACAGTGAGAAACCTGGAGGCAAGCTGATAAAAACCCAACCTTCTCATTGTACCAAGAAAAACAAAGACCTAAAGGAGTGCTGAGAGTTTTATGAGATCACATTAGCAAGCTGCTCTCAGGTGGAATCTTTGAATTTAGGTTCCCTGAGTTTCAGCCTCATTTTCTTTCTGCCTGTACTGTGCTGCTTTCTAATGATTTCTTGTAATTCTGTGGACTTGAATTTTTACTTTCTGACCACCAGTGTCTGCAGTTTATCTTTAACTGTGGTCAGGTATGCTGTTGTCCTTCACTGATGAGGACAGTGTGAAAATGTTCATGTGCATTGAAGCTGCAGACAGGCAGGACAAGTTATTTCCAGTGGATTTTTTATTAGCAATTAAGTGGAAGGTCCTCAAAACTGAAATGTAAATATTGCACTTGAATTGAATTTTTCCAGTAGATTTTACCTTATATCTAATTGTATAAAAGATACCGAGGAATTTTGTTACTTTAAACACCATTACAAATCCCAAAATGGAAATTATATAAAAGTACACAATAGCATACGCAATTATGTGAATAGTATCTCATTGTGTTCAGCACACCAAAATATAGAATTACTATTTTAGACCATTAAATATCAGTCAAAATGAGCATATGCTTACACTGGCTCAAAATTCTAAAGCTGCCAAATAGAGAATCTCCTTAATGAAGTCCAGATAGTGCCAGAGTTAAAAGATTTGAGTTTATGAGGAGAGAGACAGATACTTCACCATAAAGTTGATTATTTCAGCATTGTATGCAGAGAAGTGATTTGTAAGATTGTGGTAATAATAATCATGTCTAGAGTTTTAAAGCCCATGTACTTTTTCTGGAGAAACTTTTAGGTTATTCTACTAGAAGGGATAGATGTATTTCCTGATGCTAGGTGGAAACATTAGGAGCAATTTAAACATTTAAAATGGTTTTAAAAAGTCAGTTATGAGGTGCTTTTTCCCATTACTTTAAAACAAGATCTTTTTCCTAAACTTAGTCAAGATGATTTTTATCTATAGCTAGAACTGCTGTTAATTCTTTCATCAGCGTGTATACCTTCAGTAAGAATCTCAGTAACTCTCTTAATATATTTTCATATAGTTAGAGACCTGTTTTATGATTGATTAAATAAAAGTAAATTGTTATTTTCAGCAACATTCTTTTGAACAGTGTTGCAGCTTTAAGAATAGTGATATTTTTACTGATATTTCTAGAAACGGCAAGTAAAAATTAGAAAAGGAATTCAACATTTATGCATGGTAAATACTATTTTAAAGCATTATGAATCAGGTCCCAAAATGAAGATTTTAAAAATTGTCTTTTACAGAATACCAGGAAAAACCTACATGACAATAGCTTTTCTAACTGTGGGTACTATGGGGCTATCAAACACTTCCTTGGGCTACCTGAATTACCCTACCCAAGTCATCTTCAAGTGCTGCAAACTGATTCCTGTTATGGTAGGAGGAGTTTTTATCCAAGGTATAGTAATGATATATTTCCATACTACTTGAAACAAATAGGGTATTTTATGGCATCTAGCATTAGGAGAAACTAAACATCTACAATATTTTAAGTGAGCTTTCTAGACATTATGACAATTCTATTACATAATACTAAAAGGTATTGTAAAAACCTTGACATTTATCTGATATTCCTCAGGATCAATAATTTGGACTTGGGGGTGAGGGGGAAGAAATTAGTATGTTATTTTATTTAGCATTTTAACACATTTCTGCCAGTTCAGTATTCACATATTGAAGTCCGAACTCAAAAGTCCCACCCTTCAAAGTTTGCTTTTCCAGTTCTGTCAGTCTCTCCTTCAGGGCTCCACACTACCTCCATTGCTCAGTGTGCAATTTTTGTATTAAGATACAGCCTAATCTGAGTAGAACTGCTTTTTTTTTTAACTAACCCCTCAGGCTTATTTTATCTTAGAGCTCCAGCTCAGCTATAATCTACGTGGAAATATGAGGAAAGGGGGACATAAACAGTAACAAGTAGTGAAACAAGTTGTTTTTATTCTTCATATTAACTGCCTTGAGCAGTGTTTGTGTTTCGATAATCAAGTGTTTTTGTGTCACTAAAGTTCTTCTACAGCCTGATGTCATTTTATGCGTTGCCTTCCCACAATAACTTGTGAAAATGAAAGTGGACAGCAGTAACTTCACATATCATTTCAGGATAATGGTTCACATGGAAAAAAAAATTCACCCAATTCCTACTAAAAATCACATTTAGAGCCCTAAGTGGGCACATACATTTCCTTACAAAAAGGAATGCTACATTTCATTAAGATGCAGACATAGTAAAATGAGTTAATTCTTACCTGCTTAAAAGTTATTATTATGGTATATAATAGTTAAGCAGTATTTATATAGTCAGAATCACCCTTTAGTTCCTTTGTAAACTTATAAGAAAATTTGTAGCCTTTTTTTATTACCCATTAAATGAAAAAAGCACTTATTACTACAAAATTTTTTTTTTTTTTTTTTTGGTACTGGGGATCAAACTCGGGACCTTGCACTTAACTACAAAATTTGTAAATGCTTGTGGATATGTGTTGTTCATGTCAGTTTCCACCAAAACAATCATGTACCGCATAGCGATGTTTTGGTCAGACTACGCATAGATAGGACCGTGGTCCCCTAAAATAGATCGCTAGTGACATCATAGCTCTTACTCTGGTAAGTATACTGTGTGGTTTTTGCACAGCAACAAGGTCACCTAAAGACGTGTTTCTCCAAATGTATTCTTGTCATTAAGTGATGCATGACTACACACATCTACACACATCTTACCACAGATGAAATTGATCTCGTTTCCAGCTCACAAGGCCATGTTGGTGCCTGTTGGTATTGTACTCTTCAGAAGCTCTTCTGTAACTATCTCATGCCTTGGTCTAAGTGTTCTTCACATTTGGCATAAGATACGAAAAACAAATCCCTGATCTACTTGAGTAAACACATGGGTCTAACGCTGAACTGCACTGTCTGCATAGTGAAGCAAAGCTTACCTTTGTGTCTCATAGGAAAGCGGTATAATATTGTAGACGTGACTGCTGCGGTTTGTATGAGTCTTGGCCTGATCTGGTTCACTCTTGCTGACAGCACAGTTGCACCAAACTTCGACCTGACAGGTAAGCAAGCCATTTATCTCCCTAGATTTTATACACATTTTAGAGTAAGATTTTCTGAAATTTCCTAAGGATTTGAACTGATAGTATGGCATCTGTGATTCTCATATCTAAAAGTTTTTTGGAGTTGCTATGTAAGTTCTATTAAAAATAAAACAACCTGAAATACGACATTTTTTAGTACCCTTGTACCAGAATGACAGGAGGCTGTCTAGTCAAAATCTTTACCAACTACATGATTAACTTTTCATGAGTTGAATTGGAAGTGTAAAAATGGGTTATCGGGGAGTCAGTAATAATTGGCTTTATTCTCATTTTTAAAAATAAGCTTTGAAACTTGTATATTTAGGAGTACTTTTGATACATACTACATGTAGAGTGTTATCATTCTAAATGATTGAGAGCATTTTACCAATAAGATTAAATTAGTGTCATCCAGTCTCTTAATCTTACAGAAATAGTATTAAAAGTATCTAGATCTTCAAAGAAAGTCTGGGAAAACATAATAATAGTAATAATAATGTAATATCAGCAAATACAAAGCGCGATTATTTGTGAGAAAAAAACTAAACCATTAGATAATGAAAAAAATTTCATTTATATTAGTTTCACTGTCCCTCCTAAGATTCCTGTCTTATCAGTTGTCAGTCAGCCTTCCTTACTCACCTGGTTAACCTTGCTGAGTTACCGAATTTGAATATAATCAGTCCTGCCTCCTGGAGCAGCCCTTTAATATCCACAAGAGTCTCGTAGGACCTCCCACTCTTCAAACTAGAGTGCAGGCACGCCCTGCTTGGTTTTGGAGAAAACTTATGCTGTGCTTTCAGCTGTTTCTGGCATGGTCTGGAATTTTTAGGAACGCTTCATCCTCACATGTCAGACTATTAAAAAACGATACTTGAAAACAGAGAGAATTGACTTAATGAAGCAGCAGCGCAATTTTAGAGAAGGCACTGGATTTGCAAGGAGAGATATAGATTCAAATTCTTTGATTTTCTTTGAAATATAACCATGAATAAATTGCCAGACCCCGTTAAACTTTGCCAATAAAACCAAACAATTAGAAGATGCCTCACATGTCACTCAGTAGGGGATAGAATGAGACTGGAGTAACAGGTGTGAAGTCACATCTGCAGGAGGAGTGGCAAGGATGGCAGCAATGAGAAGAGACACCCCAGGGGCTCTATAGGCCTCACTCTTCTGAGATCCAGAGGCATATTATTTAAGAGAATGAGAACCCAGCCATACTGAATCATGAAGAATACTAGATAAGCACCTACCCATACTCTCCTCCTTTGTTCTGTTATTCCAAATGATATTAAAGCAGTGATTAGAGACATACATAACACTTTGAATGTATAAACTATTTATCCACACTTACCTAAATAAATGTTCCCTTTAAAATATTCTTCTTAGGATACAATTTTGGTGCTTCCCTGCTGTTTTCATTGTTGAAAAGATTTGAAATATTTTTGAACTCCCTTTCAACAGTTAGGATGTTCCTTTAAGGATCTTCAAACATGACATGACTTTTTCTTTTGAGGATAGAGACATTATTTGAAACAAGAAAAAGAGCATTCAGAGTCAAGTTTGGTGAATAAAAGTACATGATTAGGCAATAAATAGATAATAGATAATAGAAAATAATTTTAAAAACCAAGTTGACGAATAGCCATGAAAACTTGAAAATTCTTAATTGACGGAGGGACATACATATGTGGGCATACACTATTCTTTGCTCTCGATGATCACTTAAAGCTTAAGAAAAAAGAGAAAACTTCTGTAAATGCATCAGATGCACAGGTGGTTTGCTCTTCCTGTGAAGTGCAGTGACAGATGAGCAGACATCCCGACCACTTGGTCCCTATAGTACCTGTTCTCGGGTGCACAGCACGCTCTGTCTTTGCAGGAAGCAGTGTGTTGGCTCCCGCGTTTGTTTATGCAATTGTGTGATAACTTAATGTTGTCAAACTGTTCAAAAGTTAATATAAAAAATTGTTTCTGTAAAAACTGAGTTAATTGAAACAATTTGGTTGACAGATCGATATATCACTATTGAATTATGTGTCGAGATGAAACAACTGAAAATTGAAGGAACTCATTTAAATGCAAAGGATTCTGCACTCCTGTTCCTAGGTTTTTGGTGCAACTTTAAACAAAAACAACTTGGAAAACATAGATAATGTGTATTATCAGTATGGTTTATACTGAAGAAAGAGAAAGTGTAGACTTCTACTCAGTAGCCAAAAAAAGACTTGAGCAGCCATCTGCATGTTTATGGTTTTAAATCAAACATTCTAGTAATAGAGCTTTTTCGTGACTTTCTTCCTTGTCCTCTGTTTTGTTTTGTTTTCCCCACCTGGCTGACTAGCTCGGAATCCCATTAGATTCTTCTAAGAACTTATTCTCTACTGTTTAATGTATTTTTCTCAGATATATAATGTAGGGTAAAAGTGGCATGATGGTGACAGCATTTCATTTTATTAGTGTTAGCTTCTGTTTGTTTTAATATCATCACCTGTGTGCTCATTGCCACTGGCTGTGGGTAAGAATAGTCAGCATCATGGAACAAATGCGGTTGAAGATCTGCTTTTCTTGTTCAGACCATTTAAACGTCTTATGGAGCTTGATTATAGTCCATAGGCTTAAATAAGGACACCGTTTCTCTGTGCCTTCTTGAAGGTGTGATGCTTATTTCCCTGGCACTGTGTGCAGATGCTGTCATTGGAAATGTACAAGAGAAAGCTATGAAACTGCATAACGCTTCTAATTCCGAAATGGTAAATACTCTCATGCTTTTTCTTCATATCAGACAGACAAAAAAATGGTGATGTGCCTAATTTTATAAAATAGTTACAGTAGCAAAAAGTAGGTTATCATTATTCTCATTAAAGTAATACATTCAAGTGTTACGGGAAAGTAAAAGGAGAAACTGCCACTTCCATTCCTAATAATTTTCTTGATATTTGATTGATTTTTTTCTCATTGATTTATAGATTTTTATCTATGAAAAAATTCTTTGTTACGTCATTTCCTCCTCTCTTTGTATTTGGTGTTATTTTCCATATAGAGATTTATGATTTTCATGTTGTCCAATTCATCTTTTCCTTCATAGCTTCTGGCTACATATCATGGTCGAAAGTCTTTCCCACCTCTTGAGTTTACAGATTTCACCCATACTTACTCCAATCCAAAATTAAGAAAAAAGAAAAAAAAAGTGCCTTCCATATGGCACCCATTTGTCCCAATAACATTTATTGAATAATCTACTTTTCCAGCTTATTTTACATGCTTCCTTTCTTATATCACATTCTACTGTAGTGTTCGGAATTGAATTCTTTTGAATTTATTTCTGCACCAGTACATATAACAACAGCAGTTTTATCATACATTTACCATCTGTTAGGACTAGCCACCATTGTCCTTTTCTTTTTCAGAATATTACTACCAGTAGTTATTCTTGATGCTCATACCCCCAAATACAGTAGAAATCTCATTGGTATTGTGATTGGTATGGCATTGAATTATAAATTAATTTAGGGAGATGGCATCTATACACTTGATTCTTTCAGTCCAAGAATAAGGTATGGCTTTCCTTTTCTTCAAGTGTTTTTCTTTTTGATGTCTATTAGAATTTAAAGTTTTCTTCAAGTGAATCCACACATTTCTTATTTAAAATAGCATCTTTTCTCTATGTAAGAGTGTGTATGTGTGTGTGTGCGTGTGTGTGTGCATGCGTGTGTTTACATTAGTTTTATAACCAACCCCTTGCTGGGTATGGCATTAAGGACATGTGGGTACATTCCTCCCTGTTGCTTCCTCAGCACAGAGTGAGGTGTCCTAAGTAAAACCCTAGTGACATGGGGACTTTAATCTTGATAGGAATTTTCTTGAGCATCATCACTACTCTTCTAGATCAGACAAGGGTGGCCTCAGAGAGAAGTAAAGAATTGCTTGTGATCAGGAAGTTAATGTACTGTGATACTTAAGATGGTAGGCTCTGAAAAAGCTAGCCTCAGTTCATGCCCTAGCTTTACTACTCTCAACTCTGCATTTTAGTTTCTTCATTTGAAAACTGGTTAATGAACATGGGAGCAGAACAGTTATCTCATAGGTTGGTTGTTAGAAATCCACAGCTGACGCACAGTACCTAGCCCGCAGCAGGTGTTCGAGTTAGATGCTGCTGTTGCTGCCACTAACAATGCTGACTGACGAGCCCTGTAATGAACTGGAGTACAAAGGGTGGTAGGGAAATGGGGAAATAAAGCAATAGATATGTGCCATAGACTTCTGATTTTCATTATACTTCAATTTCTTTCGCAAACTTAGTATTTAGGAGTTCTATGTTTTATAAGTAGTTTCTAAGAGTTTCCTTTTGCTTGTATACATTTTTCAAATGCTGACATTAAAATCTGGTTCGAATTCAATAATTAAGTCCGACAAGAAGTGAATAATTATGTAAGCATATTATAAGACCCATATTGCTGTTATTTGGTACCTAAAATAAGGAATCGACTTATAAACTATTAGAATCAACCTTCATTTCCAGAAAGTTAGGCCGTATGGAAATGATGATTTTACTGGAAAACTATTTCATTCTATGAACTTATTTGAGTAGATGAATTAAAGCTCTCAGCTTTCCACTTATGATCTGATAGTACTTTTATACACTTTATTTTTTCTACTCTAGGTTTTGTACTCATATTCAATCGGTTTCGTGTACATTTTATTGGGATTGACATGCACTAGTGGATTAGGCCCTGCAGTGACATTTTGTTCAAAGGTAAATGTTAAAAGCATTTTTTTTCAATAAACATCTTCCATTAAATAGTTTTCTCTATGTTTCTAATTTCCCTGGTTGAAAAAAGGCTATTGTTGATATAATTTGATAACTCCACAAATATAATACTGCAGATCAGAAATTATTTCAGAAATGAAATGATTGATATTTAAATTTATTTTATCCTTGCTCTACCCTAAGTTAATTTTTAAGTGATTCATGATATAGAAGTGGAGGGTTTTTAACATCATTATTTTTCCATTAAATCAAAACTAAATAGTTTTGCTTGACTGTGTTGTTGAATGGCTTATTATTGCTCAAGAAGTTGATTAAAATCTGTGGTTTTATTTCATTTATAATACCTCAGGGTTTGTTTTGTATTCATCTAACAAGCTTTTTTATTTGTTGCAGAATCCAATTCGGACCTACGGTTACGCATTCCTTTTTTCCCTCACTGGGTACTTTGGAATCTCTTTTGTCCTGGCATTGATAAAAATTTTTGGTGCACTTCTTGCTGTAACAGGTAGGAGGGATTTACTTGCTTAGATTATGAAATAGGTATTTGCATTTTCTCTGATGATCTTTTCCAAAAGATAAGAGCAATACTCTCTCTTCATTAAAAAGAAAATTATATTTTACCAGTTTATTCTTTGGCTTCTGGTGTTTTTTTAAAACTCTACAGAAAGTGATGTTCTATTTTAATTTTCTGTTTTGAAGTTTTAAACTTTTTTTTTTAATTGTTGCTAGAAATCAAACCTAGGGCCTCACGCATGCTAGCGAAGTGATCTATCACTGAGCTGCACCCTCAGTCTTAAAGGTTTGATTTTAAGGTCAAATGTCAGTCTTGAAATACATTAGAAGAACTTGCTGTTCAAGAACAATGGGATGAATGCCTTCAAAGAAAGTGCTGCCTTTACATACTTTTAGTTTATTACTGTTCCAGTTATCTTGCTTCTAGAGTGTGACAGGTGCATTTTAAACAAAGCTTTTTGGACTTCTCATTTCATGCACTTTTTAGGACAGCCACCAGATTAGCTTCACTCTTCCCTGGTGATAAGCGTGCCCTTGCTCTGGGCAGGGACTTTGCTCGGCACTCTACAGGAGTGAAAGTTGTACTTGTTTGGCTTTGCAGGAGTGTACAACAGCGCAGGCGGAACCCCCATGGCTGGCTGTGCTGTGTCACTTCCTAGAACTGGAGGATGTTGCCCTTGTCTCGACAGTGTAGATGGGTTTGTGTGTGCGTGTGTTTGGGGTTTTTTCCTCACTCCTGTAAAAGAAAGCCAGAGGTGGTAATAATAATACCAATACATACATAGCCCTTATTATGTACCAAAAGCCACTCTGGATATTTTATGTATATTAATCATTTTAATCCTACCACAGTGTTAAAAAGTAGGCACTGTACTGTTCCATTTTACACATGGGTAAGCTGAGGTATGGGGAGGTTAAGTGACTTGTCTGCTGATCACCTAGAGTCAAGATTCCAGCAAGAATGTGTGTCCTTCCCATTATGCTATTCTGCCACCTGCCCAGGCTCCTCCTTCCTCCAGTGCTAACTTCCCCCTCCTGCCAGGCAGTGGGATGGAGTGGGAGAAGAGGACATTAACCTTTCTCTTTCTGGAAACCTCCTAAAAAGCCACACTCCTAGAAACAGCGCTACTGCTCACAGGCCACTGGACACAACCTAGTCACCTGTAGGAGGGGCTAGAAGGAAGGTATGCCCAGCTGAAAATAGGTGCTCTTCTACTTAAAACTGATATTTGGAATCAGGCCCTAACACATTTCCAGAACCACTTGTTCATTTAGTGTTCATTTATTCACGCATTGCGTATTAAGTGCCTGGAACTGTAGAGCCTGGGGATATACAGATGAATACAGATGAATAAGGTAAAACTATAAACTGTGCAGCAGCAGGAACCGTTAGTGTTGATTGGTAGTTGGTTTTTACTTTTGTTGTTCCTAGCACCTCACATAGGTTATCTGGCATATAGTTGGCTGAAAATATTTAGCGAAGAAATGATTTCCAAAATATTACTAAGGAAGTAAGCACATTCTAAACCAGTTTTTTGCCCCTACAGTGACAACAGGAAGAAAAGCAATGACCATTGTTCTTTCATTTATATTCTTTGCTAAACCTTTCACATTTCAGTAAGTAATATTTAATTCATTTCTTAATTTTTAGATACTATTTCCCATTTCCCCTTAAACAGCCTTATTTTCAACATTTACTTTTTGCAATGTGTTAATTTTTATGTAAATTAAGGTGTATTTTTCCCTGTTGCTCTATAAGAATCCTATTTATCTTGACCTTATATCTATTGATAGGTCTTCTGTCTGGGAAATGTTTATAATTTGCCATCTTGAGCTTACTGTTTTCGATATTTAAAGTGCGTAACCAGAATGATGTTTCCAATAGGAATAAATGTAAGTGACATGTAAGCTATTGAGAATAAGGAACTCGCCCTTGCTTGGGTGCAAATATATTAGTTATATGTTTACAGGACATGCTTTGAATACTATCTGTTTATATGTGGCCACTTTCCACAAAGGATTTGCAGTAAGGAAGTATTCTGTGAGTTGTGACCTACTGACTTCATTTTGGTTTTGACTTTTTGTAAAAGCATTTACTCTTTTCAGAACTGTCTGATGTTTGAAGTTGACATTATTTAAACTTACGTTGATTGATAATTATGAAGTTTCAAACCTAAACTTAGCAATATATAGGTCAGGTAGCAATAAAATTTTTATTACTGTGTTGTAGATCATTGGTTGTCTACAAATTAATTTCTACATGAGCGAGGTATATGTTATAGTAATTAAATTGCAATGATTGGCCTGCTCCCTGAGGGATGCCTCATCCTTTTTTATCCTTTTATGTTCCACCCAAAAGGGATAACTCACTGACTGTAAGTTGAATTCCCAGGATGGCCTGTGGTGCATTTACTTAGCCATTGTTTCAGGTCTTTGGTGGGGGTTGGACTTAGCGTATACTATTATTCTCAAAGTGTAAATGAACCTCGTTTTCTGTAATATTTTGTAAAACACATTTTCTATATATATATTCAACATAAAAGATATGAAGTTATCTTCTATCTAATCTGACCAAAGAATACTATTTTTACTTTAATAATGTTTGGTTCTCTAATAGCAAAATTTTATCCTATTTTTTTATTACTATGAATTGATCATAAATTCTGTGAACAATAAACTGTTACCTTGTTAATTTTGGTAATTTTCTTCCATTTTTCTTATAGGTATGTGTGGGCTGGCTTGTTAGTTGTCCTTGGCATATTTCTCAATGTGTATAGCAAGAATATGGATAAAATAAGACTGCCGTCACCGTTTGATCTGATAAACAAGGCAGCAGAATCGAGAAAGGCAAGGACGTTGGCACAAACGGTGTAAGCACTGATTTGTCCTCTTTAAAAAATAATAAATTTTAAGGGAAAAATCTTTCATTGATTAACTTTTCAAAAGAGTGTGATCCAAACCAAGGGACCTGAAGGCGTGCTGTCCATTTGTGGCTGGATTACATGTGAAGTGGTTTTGTGCCATCAGCCTTTCTTCAGAGCACTTGTTTTACTCTTTGGCTTTGAAAGCACTCGAGAGCTGCATCTAGCATAGCTGCTAGTAAACGTCAACGTGAAAGGTCCTAGCAGCTTCCTGAGAATTTCACTAACAGTGGACCATGTTACAAGACCAGTTGGATGTCAGTATGACATATCAAAGATGCTGATATGCAACAACACATTGTTTTATCTTCATTCCATTTTGGTGGTGTTATTTACATTGATTCTCTGTTATAAGAGCAAGTTGATGATTGAAGTCTGGAGAGAAGAATATTCATTATAAATAAAATTATCCTGTGATATTTTTAAAGAATGTGTTAATAGAATTGTATTATAGAGGGAGGTGGACATTGGAGTAAGCTTAATATGTGCTTTAAAACTTAAGTTTTGTTCTCATAATAGGAAAATATTCTGGGAAAAATACAGCTTAAGTTTTATGTAGAGTGTACGCACGACAGTAAAAGCCATTACTGTCTTGCACCAAGTAAGTGGACATCACAAGAATAATTTGCTACTGATTACAGAAGAAGTACTGAAAGGGTAATGATTTGGATTTTTCTAATTGAAGAGAAAGTAATTGATGCCTTAAATTATTATCAAATAATACCCTAGTTTTTCTTACAAAAGTGAAATTCAGTTTGGAAGTTTGAAGATGAAGTAGGATAAACTTAACAAGAGATTTATTTAGACAATATTTTCTCTCGATCCATTCAGGCTGTTACAGTAAAATACCATAAACTGGATACTTTACAACCATTTTTTTCTCATGGTTCTGGATGCTAGGAAGTCTAAGATGAGGGTGCTGGCCAGGGTGGGAACTGACGAGCATTGCTTGCTGTGTCCTCATGTGCTGGGTCCTAACCCCATTCAGGAGAGTTTTACCTCATCATCTCGCAGAGGCCACCCGCTAATACTGTCACCCACAGATGAATGGCGAGGGAGGATACACATTCAGACCATAGCAAAACTGCTTATGTAGTTTTCAGTCTAAACTGGTAAAGATTTAAAACCTCCTTCTTAGTAGTGATTTTTGGAATTGCTCCCACTATATTTTTAAAAATCTTATTAATCTTCATTTTCAATATAAATGACAGTGGTCAGAGTCTTAATAACTGTGCTATTCGAGATGCTTCTATATTATGTGATAATAGAAGTATTTAGTCTCATTCTTAAAGTTCCACTGTATTCTGATGGACACTTTACCCTGTTCTATGCAACTGTTGGTACGGCGGAGCCTATCATAACAAAATGTTCTTTGTTTCCTTTGTTCACATTCTGTGGTAATCATTTTTTAATTTTCCATATCTTAAATGGAAAGGTTCTTAATTTGTATTTCATTATGCTGCCTCAAACTCTTAAGACTGTAGGGATTTGAGCTTTAAAAAAGAAAAGAAAAGAAAACGTAACTTGCCCAAATCCTTGATAAAATACAATTTTTACTTGCAAGGCATTCTTTACCCCCACATTTTCCTAATATTTTGCCTGTAAACCTATTACCAGCTCATCCTCCCATTCACAGTTTTAAACAATTTCACAATGTTTTCTAAAAAAATCACTGTTTGCCAGCTCTACCCTTTATACTCCATGGCCATTAGAGGTAAATTTCTCCTCACTCACTTGTAGTGAAGTCTGAAATAATAAAATAATTTCTGTGGTAAAGAAAATCAACATTAAACTTCGGGCCAGATTTTATGTGATCTTTTATGTATATTATTTCATCTCAACAACTGAAATAAGTGAATTGAAAATAATAACTGCAAGTATTGATCTTTAAGTGTTTATTAGGTGCCAGGCACTATTATAAGTGCTTTACATGCAGTAATTTATTTAACCCTCACAATGTCTCTGTTTGAATATTTCCATCTCATTTCACAGATGAGAAAGCTGTGGCCAGAGAGGTCAGTGACGCCCCTGGTCCTGCGTAGCTGGAAAGTGCCAGAGCTACTGTCCCTCAAGCAGTCTGGTTTCAGACTGGCCTGTGTGTATTGCTTCATGCTTACATTTTTTTTGCAAATGCAAAGAGTGAAGAACCAGACTCAGTACTTACTAGTTCCAAATCACACTACTACATAGTAACAGACTGGATTTCAAATCCAGCTTCATATTTTCTGTCCATTGTACCCCACTATGAACATTTAACTACAGCACTAACCCAAATTGATGTCAAAAGTCCTGTGATCGAAATATTTCCCCACTAAAAGTAAAATATTGAAACCAGTTATATGGGTCACACAGTGGCTCTCCCATATAAGCTCACACTGACGCTTGGGGAGGCTTCCCGTGATACAACACATCCTGATGCCGAGAAGGACCCTGGGAGCTGAGTGTGAACAGCCCTTCCAGACTTTGCCACTTAGGTCTCTTTTTGACTGCTCTCAATTTCTGTCCTTTACAGTAAAACTGTAGGGAAAGTGGACATTGCCTTGAGCTCCAGGCGTTGTTCAGTGAACTGGACAGGAGAGTATGTGATCTGAAGTGTGAGTGGCCAGGAACCCTGAGGCTTGCAACTGTTGCCTGCAATGCAGGCAGTCGTAGAGACATAGAGTCCCCTTCTCCCATAGCATCTGGGTAGCCAGGATCAGATTTGCACTGCAGAGTTCATGCTTTTCAACAGTTATTAAATGACTGCATTCTCTGGCTGTTACCTAATGTTCTCAATTTTTCCAAGTGATCTTTATCTTAAACCCACTTCATATTCTAGATTTTGAACCTGTTTTACTTCTAGGTTCTTCCTTGGTCAAAAAAATACAGGAAGAATCCTAGTAAAATGTGAACAGGATGATAGACCAATAATACAGTTTAGCATACTAAAAAATACCTATGAATTGCTAAATCACATTTACTCTTTACAAGGTTATCAAACTATCACATTGTACATCTTCACCCTCAAAATCTTTGCTATGTGCTTCCTTATTAAGCATATGACCAGTTTTCCTTGCTAGTTTGAGCAAAAATTTTTTCCTATTTTTATTTTTTCTGCTTTTCATTTGTTTCTATTGAATGTCATTGTACTTGTCCATTGAACCAACCATCTTAGGTTGCATTAACAGATAAGGTAGGATTACTAAAATGAATGCTTTTTTATTACTATATCATTTATCCATCCGTTGTTACTGGGCCAACTATAAACCAGGTATTACACTAAATTCTGAGGATGCAAAAATAATAATAATAATAACAACAACAACATACAACCCCCATCATGAGAGGCCCCAGTCTTGAGATGATTTGCTATGATTACTACACAGGAATAGGTAGACTGGGTTGATTTCTTTGCAGTCACAGGTTGTCATATTACTAGCCTTCATTTTTCAGAGTATTTCCCCATCATTATAGTATGTTTACAGAAACATCTGTAAACACATCTGAGCCACCTGAAGGATCTTGTTTAAAACCGTAGATTTTAAGCGGGAGGGTGATGGTGGCCTGACATTGGCACCAGCGAGCTCCAGGAGAGCTGATGCCACCCATCTGCAGACCACACTTGCAGTATCGAGGTTGGAGGGTACAAACGATAGATGCTTTCCAGTGGAGGGACATCGGAAATTTTATTTTCACCTGATTTTCTTCCATTTGGAAGAAACTTCCAAACTTCCCATGCTGCATTTAATCTCTCTGCATCTCTATTTAAACTGAACGGAAACCTTATGTTGCTGGCTTAAGTGAAAAGAGTTCTTTCATCATGGCAGGTGTGTGAAGGATTTAATATTCATTACTTTCTCCAGAAATTACCATTTTAGAATCTCAAAAGTAAGGTAAGCCCATAACTCCCTCCCAGTCATGGTCTGTTCTTTTAGTTTCATGGCATGCAGTTAAAATGCTGTTTGGTAGTAATATTATGGAGAAAATGTTCACTTCAGAGGCTTGCTGCTCTTTCACAATGAACTGTGTATTTATTACAGGGTGCTAGGGAAGTAGGCTTTAACACTTAGGGAATTCTTCTGTGACTTATATCACAAAATGTGTTTTATTAAATATCTTAATCCTATGATGCGTCCAAATTCCTAAAACATAATTAATGAGACCATTTCAATCAGGTTTAACACAGTTGATAAGATTTAAATAGATAAGTAAATGTGGATTATTATGATAGCTAGAAGACTTTGGAGTGTCATTATTATAGAGCTCATTCTAGATCTCTGGTTTTTCACTGCAAGTTACAATGAAAGGAATAATTGTTGCATTTCTGACTCAATATATAAGCATTTAGGAATTATTTGAGCATTAATTTTGAAAAATATTTTTGTATATGTAACCAGAAAATATTCACAAAGGCAAGTAATTGTCTCTTTAGTGTCTATATTTTAACTGATAATGTTGGTTGATGATATCTGTGCTAGGCAATGCAGAATCTTAAAATCTGGGACTATTTGGATGTTTGGACACCTGTCATAAAATCACAGAAGATGATTGAAATGTCTTCTCTCAAGAAGGTTTTATCTAAGAGAATGGAGCTGGAGGAAATTTACTGGAAAGTGTCCACAAATTGTAGATAGTTGGCCCCAGGAAGTTAGAAGATGTGTCAGAGATTTTCATGTAGCAAATGGCAGAATGGACCTGAATCCATTTCATTGAGTCTGGACCCTAGTGCTTATCTGGCAACTCCCATATGGTGGAATCTCTTCCCTTCCCGGCCACCACACAAGCTGGTTAGGATTGACAACCTCTCCCAGTGTTTATCCTCCCAGGGCCATACCACAGCCTTCCTTCTCTGCCCCATCTAAGCTGATGAGACTCAAAGGTCTTCTGTGGACAATGCTATCGGTGTACCTATTAACCCACTTAAATGGCTGATCTCTTCAACCAGGCATACAGTGGTGAAAGAAGGGATCACTGGGCCCGGGATTTAGCTCGGTGGTTCCGCCACCTGCTGCACAAGCGCAAGGACCCGAGTTCAATCCCCGGTACCAAAAAAACAAAAAAAACAACAAAAACAGAAGGGATCACCTGCCTGCTGTCCCTGATTTAAAAAACAAAAACAAAAGAAAAACACCTAAGATACAGGTAGACACTTGCAGTAGACTACCAGCAGGAATGAGCACAATCGTAGGTGTTTTTTCATTCAGTAATTTCATTGGTACATTTTAGGTATACAATATGCTGACATTCATTATTGGGAATTTGTACCGTTACGTGATATATCTTGGTTCTAAGAACCATAGGTGTTTATGGGCAACTGGGGGAGGGAACAGAATCAGACCAATGAGGATCTGAGTTTGTAGATGTAGGTTACACAGCAGGGGCCAAGCCAAATATAGACAAGACAGAAGTTGTTGGAAATGAATACCAGGTAGAAGCATTATCACAAAGGAAAAATGAAGAATGTAGGCTCCAAAATCAGAGGAGAAGCAAGGAATCTGGCTTGCTGAGCTGTGAACTCCAGGGACCTTTGTCCTCCCAGCAAGAAAAGCCAGGTGGGATTAAACCTGATGCTGGGGCAGGAATCAGAACAATGGGGGAAAATTTTTAATTTGGGATGAGAGCCAGATCAGAAGTTGTACCCCTTTAGACTTTTTCTTCGTTTTTCACATTATCTGGTGTTGGAAAAACTGGATTTCAACCTGCCAAAGATTAAAACTAGACCCATATCTATCACCATGCAATAAATTCTTGATTTTACTGGATTCATTCACCACACTGAAAAATGGACAATGAAAAATACCTCTCCATAGAACTGACTTCTTTGTGATAGTTTTGTTAATGATAGTATGTGACTTGAAATTATAATTCAATACTCATTATATGATCTCAAGTGTTTCTAAGCATACAACTTCAATAGTAGTAGCTGTGTCTATTAGGTTCCAAATCATCATGACTGTTCAAATGAAGTGGCTGTGATATCAGAAGGCTTTGTTAGAACTGCCTGAACACAGATTTCTTGGCTAGCCAAGAGCCATCGTAAATTGTTCAGTATTATTTTTATTTTAAAGTGACATCACCACACCTCCACTCAAATTAATAGTCCCATCTGCACTAACTGGCTTTGCAGAAAGGTGAAGAATAACAATCCATG